GATCAAAGAATAGATGACTTTTCATTTAAATTAGGAATTAAATATAAATTCAAACTACTTGACAAATGGTAAAATTTGTGCCAATTAAAATAATATTCTACAAATAATATATAACTTTACAAATTTCATAGATCAGATTTCCTGAAAATAAGCATCACATTTATTAAAATTTCCCTCAAATAAGTCTATATGGCACAAGATTTAGTCTATGAGTGGGTTGCAATAGTGATGATCAGAAATGAAAAACAGTAGCCTAGCACTGGTGGCTTCTGCCTAAAATCTTACTTACTTGAGAGGCTGACGTTGGGAGGATCATGGTTCTAGGCCAGGGAGTTCATGAGACTCCATCTCAACCAATAGCCAGGTATAGTGGCATGCTTCTGTCATCCCAAGATACATGGAAAGCTCATATCAGGAAGATTTCAGTTCCAGGGTAGCCTGGGCAAAAACGTTTAGGAGACCCCATCTCAACAGAAAATATATGGGCATGGTGGTGAGCTCCTGTCAAGATCAAAAAGAATTAACCTAGAAGGTAACACACACGCACAGGAAATTAATGTGAGTCAACTCCCTGTATAGCTATCCTTATCTCAACCAGCAAAAACCCTTGTTCCTTCCTATTATGGCTTATACTCTCTCTACAACAAAATTAGAAATAAGGGCAAAATAGTTTCTGCTGGGTATTGAGGGGGTTGGCGGGAGAGGGAGGGGGCGGAGTGGGTCGTAAGGGAGGGGGTGGGGGCAGGAGGGAGAAATGACCCAAGCTTTGTATGCACATATGAATAAAAAAAAAAAAACCAGAGAGAATTGGCAGGAAACATTAAGTAGGAGGATCACAATTCAAGCCAGTCAAGATAAAAAATGAAATCATATCTCCAAAAATAATCAGAGCAAAACAGTGCAGGGGGCATGGCTCAAGCCATAGAGCACCTGCCAAGTAAGCACCAAACACTGAGTTCAATCCCCAGTATTACAAAAAGGAAATGGCAAGAGAATTAAGATTGAATCATTCTTTTCTATGTTAAACTTTTCAATCCCTAGAATCAACCTCACAAAATAAATGGAAGATGGTGAGAAAAGAAGCAGCAATGGTTATGTCACTGTTGATCAGAATCAACTATAAGCAATACATAGATAATAGTTTTTCTAGAGCACATGTGACCATGAAGATCACTGGGAGCCCTACTGAATTTGACTCCTAAAGAGAAAACATGAATAAATTAAGAAGAGAAATATTCTGTGATAGAGAATATAGCAATTGGGTAAAAATGAACAGTTCACCTGTTTGTTACTTTCCCCCTTACCTTTTATTTTTGGTCAATTAATTGATCTAAAAATCAATACTTCTCTGTCAGTTTTTGTTATATAACAAATAACCATAAAGGCATGCAATAATATGCATTTATCTCAGATTCACAGGTGTGCAGGTCTACTTGGGTTGATCACTTCCACATATTTCATTCTGAGGCATGAGGTGATTTCCTTGACACTTCTCCTTTCAAGAGGTAGAGTTTAATCATCCCATGAATGTGGACTGGAATTAGTGACTCCCTTCAAAACAATGGAATAAGATGGAGATGGCAGTGAGATTAGATCATAAAAGGTACTGGGCCTCCTCTTTGCTCTTTTATGCATTGCATGCTTGGAGGAAAGCCAGACGCCATTTTGTAAAGACTCAGGAAAGCCTGTGGAGAGGCTAATGTAGTAGGGTATTAAAAGCTATTGCCAAAAGCTGTATGAATGAGGCCAATTAGGATGTATGCTCTAGTCCCCAGTCAGGGTCAACATCTGAACTGTATTTTCATGGAAGATGTAGATACAGGAGCCCCCAATTAAACTTCTCCCCAAATTCCTAACCCACAAAAGTTGTACAATAATAAATGTCTGTTGCTTTATTCTACCTTTCATGGTAATTTCTTATTCAATAATTGATAATGTATACAAGCTGCTACAAGATGCTTATACTCATGTTGAACGTCAAAAGTTCAAGTTGTGCAAGTACACAGTTGTGGAAGTTATGCGAGCACATTTTAAACATCTGTTCTGATCTAATATGCTAATATCCATTGCCAAAAGTAGGTGTTTGGTTAAACCAAACATCAATAGGCAGAGGAAAATATTTCTCTGTAGTAGGCTAAGTAAGGAGTTACATAGATATCAATTTCTAATCTTTGAGAATTTAAGATAAAGGAGTCTTTGCAGATGTGATTAAATCAAGGGTTTTGACAAGGGAAATTTATTCTGGATTATCCAAACAGGCCCTAAATGCAGTCACAAGTGACCTTATAAGAGGTAGGCACAGAGAGATTTGAGACACACACAAAGAAAGCGATGTGAATATGGAGACAGACACTGCCGAGGTTGTTCCAAGACAAGGAACACTAAGGAATGTTGGCTGCCACCTAGAAGATAGGCGAGACAAACAATGACTCCTCAACCAGAGCCTTCACTTGACATCTTGATTTTGGACTTCTGGTCTCCAAAAATGTAACAGAATAAATTTCCATTTTTTGAGCCATGAAGATTTTGATAGTTTGTTACAGCAGTCCTGGGAAATGAATACATTCTCCCATGAGGTGGGTGGAGGTGTTGAATATTAGCTGAACAATAATCTGTTTTAGCCTCCCTTCAAAAATTTATTTATTTTGATACTACCAAAATAAATAAATGAACACATAAGTATAAGTAAGCAGAAGAAAAAAAAATGAAGAATGTAAATCAAAAGATTACCCATGAAAGGAGCAGAAAATGTAAAAAATTTTCTTCTTAACATCCTTTAAGAAACCAACATGAAACGAATAAAATCAATACAGTATTAAAAGAAGAAAATAGAAAAAAAATAAAGGTGAGCCTTTTAGATTCCAGGGGAAAAATGAAGAAGAAAATAAACCAGAAATGAATGCTCCATTAAACAAGCATATGTAACAAATGGGTGTAATAAACCATAGAAAAAGAAATTTTAAAAATGTGTAAATATATTTATTTTAAAAGTGAAATAGAAGATCCATATATATGAATAGTATTTTTAAAGAAGAGACTTGAATGTGTAATAGAAAAATTTCAAAGATAGGAGAAAATATGCTAAAATGAAAGCTCTCATTCTACAAATTGAAAGTATATTATTTTAAGAACATCATAGCATCATATTTTACACTGAAAAATACTGCAGCTAACAGTCAATATGATGTTGGCTTTTCTCTTGTGCTTTTTGATATTCATAATAAATTAGAAGTAATCTTCACATATGTCAAGGTTCCTGTAAAACTATTATTTTGACATTGGTCAAGCAATTTTATTTTTTGCTAAATCAAGTAATAAGTATCTAATGTTCTTTCCTACTCCATGAATTCTTCCTCTGAGCTACTTCTCTACTAGGGCTTAAAATAAAACAATTTCAGAAAGCAACTTTAGTTGGCATCCATGTATATCTATGTTAAATGTCTTCATAAACTTATTGAAGACAACTAGTCAATAATAATTGTGACCTTTACAGATATCAATCCTTAAAGAAGGGTGTAGTAACACCTTTACATTATGACATTTGGCAAACAAATCAACTCGTAAACATTGCCTTTCTGTAGTTCTATCCAAACTGAATTTTATTAGTTACCTGGAGCATTGGTAACTAATGTGTTATGTGATTTGTTGCTTTAAGAAACTGGGATTCAATGACATATTTTCATACAATATTTTGGTGAGTGGGAAATATACAAATTAACTACACATTTGTCTATCTTCTTTTTTGAAGGATGGGGACAAAAAGCAAATGTTGCATGTTTTACCAAAGAAAAATTTATGTGTGATTTACTTCCTTCTTGTTATTAAATGAAAGTCAATAGGAAAATGACTTGATAGGCAAATATTCTTTACTACCATTTCAGGAATATTTACAATGGCCACTTGAAGACTATTACAGAAAATGTATTTTTTGCCCTTGCCTTGGATGGTTGGCACTAACATCTATTTTCAAAAACATACTTTTCCAAAGATGAGAAGTAGTGTAATGTAAATGCATCCAAAGGATGTAGCAACTATGCTTTCTATCAAATGGCACAGGAAAACACAGCACAATTTTCTTAAGTTTGTTTCTATACAGGGTTTTGCAGAAGACCTTGCCCATTGGCCCTTAATAAATGTTGAATTGTTAATGAAACAATTGTGTATTCAGACACTGCTTCCTGCAGATAAAGCAGATGATATATAAATAAACCCAGAGACCACTAATACTTTTAATAGTTGATAAGCATGATGCATATTTTTGTGAGAGGCAGATGAAGATTAGAAGCAACCTTGCTCTATTTTTCCATTTCTTTGATGACATCACGTAAACTGAGATTTCTTGAAGTCCTTCTAGAAGCTCTGATAGCATGGTCCTGCTAGTTTGCTGGACAGAGCTAGCCCAATCCTGTGCATAAGAGAATCTGAATCTTTAGAAAGTTCTTCCTAGTATGTCAACTAAATTCTTGATTCAGGTAACCCTGACTTCTTATACTTCCTTCCTTAGACATGAAAAATGAGCATGTACCAATCTGCTTATCCACACTACATTCATAATAAATTCAAAATTCTACCTCAAATATACCAAATTGGATTGTTAAAAATGCTGTAGAATAAATTTCATTCTTGACTCTCACTGTCAAGTGGTTTTGCTTAATTCTAATGTAAATTCCCTTCCCTATTTGGTAGATGTCAGGACATTTGATGGAATAACCTCTTACATCCATTGCAACTTCAATTTTTTCTCTAATAGTGTAATCGCTAAAGAATTGACTTATTTCCCAACAAAAGCCTGATTCTCAGGTAATCCTATAAATAAGGTATGGTATCTAAGAGGTGCGCTAAATATGTAAAAGGATTTTATCTATTTCTTCACGCCTACTAAGCGGAATCAGGCAAACGTTATTTTCCTTAAAATGCACGTATAAATACAAGATATTATAAGATTGTTATTTTTATAATTACTACATATTAGAAAAGCCCTCAGTTTTAACCATCTTATTTTATATTATTTATTGCAGGACAAAATGATAGAAACTGGCAACAATTGCCTGAATAATGAATCAAACTTTTTTAAAAAACATTCATGTGATGATACAAAGGTAATGATGATTATTTGGAGTTTGTCATTTCAGCTTGATTTTATAGAAGCTTCTACTTTTGTGTCTCTGTTAGGTAATTATACTAGTAATATATTATTTGGTTCAAGCCATATAATTCTCATTGCTCTTTTACATTATACTATGGTGTTCTTTCATTTTACAGATAGTCTTGTGCTTAACAGGTAAAAAATTGTTTTCTGTTTTAATGTTCTATTTTTTTCATTCTGAAAATACTAGAACTAATGAATTCAAAGACACAAATATTGCTTTTTTCTAAATCTCTTATTTTAGGAAAAAGTGGGTTAAGACAAATGCTTAAAAACATACAAACAGAATCCATGGTAATAATTTAGTTGTAGGCATTTTGAAATTTTTCTTTCAATACTTAAGTCTAAATTAGTACCCCTCTGTTTGGTATAATATTACAATGTAGAAAATCTCCAAAAGTTTGTGTCATTTCTTCTTGCAGAAAGTGCTAAGTTATTTGATAGTGTTTTTAAAACTCACAATAGATGAGTTAACTTCATGGGGTCTCATAACCATAAGTTCTTTATTCTTAGTTGCTTACTTTAAATATTTTTTAAAACTTGTTTTAGGTGGCTATGCCCTTTTTGTCTTAATACCATCTATTCCTCTATAATGCAAAATGTTTTAAAAATAAGAATAAATACACATACCTTTTCTCTTTATTACTTCCAGAAGCCTTATCCTTTGGTTATCCTGTTTAAAATTGAATAATCTTGTAATGTTTTCACCATAAATGGTAAGGTCATGCATACATAATAGAGAAAAGAGACTTTCAAAGTCAGATAATCATTACACCAAGTTCTTGACCCTTTGTGCTGTCTGTCCTGTCTCCTAGGAGCGGAACAGTTTCAGTTCTGTTACTTGCTAGTCACGTGATTAACTGGAATAGAAAGCTGTGGCAGAGGTGGGGCATTGCTGGCAGTACAGCTCCAGCATGAAAACCCTTAAGAAAGCTGTAATTTCTTAATGTTTTATTTCAGTCACAGTCCTTCTGATTTTTTCTCTATAATAGGAAGCTGCTTTTCTAAATCGTGCTGCTCGCAAGTTGAAGCAATTTCAAAAAATGAATATCAGTGAGAATTTCAATGACCACTTATTAAGACTTTCACAAGGCACATTAGCAATGGTGAATTGCACCAGCAAGGTAAGTTGGGACTGTTTACATTGAACAAAAATATAAATTACTCTTGTGCTGGATCATTCTCTGATGAGCATATCTATTATTGCAGAATTCTAAGTGAATTCTTAAGGTTGAAACATAGCTAATTCTAGAAGAGGAGAGTCTTCAGTTGGAAAGTGGCTATTCATCTCTTGGCTAAGAGAAATTAATACTTTGTGGTAGAGGAGTGAAAAATAAATACTTCATTACCATAATTACATACAAGGAGGAGGTGATAAAATGCATTATCAGGAATGGCAATTTTTTTATCCCTAAAATGTAACAATAGCTTTAATTCATATATGTTCAGAATTATATAACCCCTGGTCACTGAAAAAGGAAATAAAATGTATTTAATGAAATATTTTTATATATTAAAACTTAACATGAATGCATCAATTTCCCTTTTTAATTTTTGTAACAATTTTGATACTTACAGGGCTAATTTTCCCCTACCAAAAGTTGTGAACTAAAAACCACAATATTTGCAAGAGATATATCCTCATCTGCAAAATGGAGTAAAATATGGTATCTACTTTCCTGGTTGTTGAGAGGATTTAATGCATAATGATGTTAAATTTTTCGTAATAACATGTTTTCAGTGTTCCATATACTGTTTATTGCTATTATTATTTTTCTCTTCAGGGATTTTACCAGCTTACATATAAAGTCAAAATGTTTCTAGGCCAGATGCATTGGCTAACATGTGTAATAATCCCAGCTACTGGGAAGGCAGAAATTAGGAGATTGCAGTTCACGGCCAGCCCAAGCAAAAAGTTGGTGAGACCCCCCCTTATTGACAAATAAGCTGGGCATGATGGTTCATGTGTGTAATCCCAGCTCTGTGGGAGGCCATACCCAAGCAAAAAAGGGAGACCCTATCAGCATCAGAAAAATCATGCAAAAAAGGACCGAAGGCATGGCTCAAATGGTACAGCACTTGACAAGACCTTGAGTTCAAACCCTCATACTGCCCTCCTCCCCCAAGAAATATGGCAAAAGGAATTTTGTTTTGTTTAAGTTCCAGTAGTTTCTCCTGAAAATAAAGTGGCTAAGGTATCTCTGAACCCTATCAACAGTTATGAAAATGGAGATTATATAACATGGACAACTTTAGTTTTCACTGCTTTATATTTGATAGAAGCCTGTTGGTATTCTGGATTTTCCATGCTTATTTCCAATTTGGGGACTTTTTATGTCGGTTCATAAAAATTAAAAAATCTGTCCTAGTTATTTGGATAGAAATCAAACTTAAATGAGCACTCATCTTACTTTATTAGCACAGTCTGTACAGTACATATAATATGAAATAGTATATGAATATTCCATATTTCTGTCTATATATATACTATTAGGTATTATAGAAACATACGCAGCAATATGAAAAGCATGAATTAAAAAAGCAGAATAATTAATTGAATCTGATTAAACTTTAAAGATGTAAGTAATAACTAGGGTGGGATATTGAAAAAATAAGCCCCCTAGTTCACAAGTGATAGGGTCTTCTCTTACTTTTTTTCCATCGTTATTATGTTAGTTGACTAACAGATACACAGGAGCACAGAAATTCCTTAACCTTCTTAGAAAGTCAGAGTGAGTCTGCATATTCTGGGGTTCAGGAAACCTATCTGAAGTAGAAAGTGTGAGATAAATGAAATGAAAACATGAGCTAGGATCGATGTAAATGTGTCAATTGACTATAAGAATGTAGAAAGGAAGTTTAGAAACGGGAGGGGACATCTATGTTCCTAGGACTGCACAGAAGTAAATCATAATTGTTTATTTTTCTCATATCTATGTACAGTTATCTCTTGTATACATGGTACACTGTTTCCCAGACCTCCCCTCACATACCAAAATCTGTGGGTGAATAGAAGCTAAGCTACACATCTGCAACATCCTCCTACAGGCTTTAAATCATTTGTAGGTTACTTATAATACCTTGCACAATGCAAATGCTGTGTAAATAGTTGTTCTAATGTATTTTTAAGGGAATAATGACAGAAAAAGTCTATACCTGTTCAGTACAGATACATTTTTTTCAAGTATTTTCAGTTTGTGGTTGGTTAACTCTGAGGCAGTGGAACCTGTGGATATAGAAGGCCACCCATATTTGTATTAGTCAGGTTAAAAAAAAATGTTCCTCAACCCTCGTTGGAAAGAGTATAAAATTGTGCCTTCGTATTTATCTTCGAAAATCCACTGTCGAATCTTAGTTATTTAAATGGTATATGCTAGAATTACTAAGTATATAACTAAAAGAGATCCTATTTTATGATTCAAGTAAAAACAGGACAGATGAACTTGAGATTAACTATTATAATTACTTGATAGGTGACCCTGGCACTTATTTATCCTCTCTGTGACTCTGTTTCCTCATTTATGAAATGAGGTAAAATCATCAAGTTCATAGGGTTACTGAGCACAGAAGTTAAGTACCATATGTAAAGTACTTAGCATAATACTAGGCCTGGAAAACACTTAATAGCTTGCTGTTATCTAAATGAAGAATTATCCTACCCTGTGAGAGGGTTCAGAGAAATAAACTATGCTATGGAGAGCTATTCCCTTATATGTCTGCTTCAGGTAAGGTATCTCTCCCTTTATTTTTCACACATTGTACAGGTAGCTCTCTTAAAAATTCTTATCAGGTGGTAAAAAACAGGTTATGAGACAGACATCTGCATATCTGTGGAAGGTCAGATTTTGGGGTAGATTCCAGGATACAAGTTCAATCATACATATGTCTTTACAAATCATCTTGGCCAAAATAATCTGAATATTTTCAGTGTTAATTATTCCTCTACTAACAATACATTTTCCATATTAAAAAATGAGTAATCTACCAGTATCTTTTAATGAAAGTTTAAATAGAATTATGGCCACTGTTACAGTGTAAAATGACAGCTGAATCTTAAAACACACCAACTTTGAATTTCTTAAAAGTCAATTATGACAGTTTTGGTTAGAAATCATAGTTTTTTTTTTTTTTTTTTTTTTTTTGTGGTACTGGGGATTGAACTCAGGGCCTCATGCATGCAAGGCAAACACTAAACCACTAAGCTATATCCCCAGCCCAGAAATCATAGTTTTTAAAATATCATGTAAGATTCACTGTTTTCATTACACTAGATTTTCAGTGTAACTTAAAATAAGAGAAATTAAAGAATGAACACTCTAAAAATATATTTTTATAAAAGTGTAAAATTAAAACTTTTAAAATTTATTTCCCTAGGAAGAAAAAGCTTTAAAGGAACAGAAAAAGAATGACCCGTGTTTCCTAAAGAGACTATTAGGAGAGATAAAAACTTGTTGGAATAAAATTTTGAGTAGTAATAAAGAACGCTGAAAAATATGGAGTAAAAATATAGAAACAGAGGACCTGTAGTTACATCCGCCAAGCATTATCTGCCTTTGCAGTTTTTCGGAGTATCAAGTCCCTTGGAAGTTGCTGAATGCATTTTGGTAAAAATGATGAGGACAACTGAGAAATCCACACTGTAGCATGAGAAGATGGACATTAACAATGGAAAATGATTGCATAGTCAACCAACTATTTCATATTGTGTGGAGTTATATTGACTGGTATTATATCTGTACTGATTTTGTAAAAGCAATTCACATAAGGTTTCATTTGTAATAATACTTTTTAAACTTGCCTAAATATTTCAGAAGACTTCAAGTCTATGAAGTATATAAAGATTACAAGGATTCAAATCAAATATTGTTTTATTATCAAAATAGTTTTTATGGCCCACTGTACTTCAGTGTACTGTACTAAGAGTGGAAATTGTCGTCTTCTGTATTAGAGATGTTTTAGGGTTAACAGTGAAATATGGAGAATGCTCATGAAACAAGAAAGTCACCACACCTTAAAGAAGCAGTAACATAAAGAATGCCAAGATACTTAAAGGAGATATCAGAGATGTAATTAAATATGAATTATAACACAGTGCCTTTACCAATGGTATGGCAAGTATTTGTAGAGAAAATAAAGGATAACTTCAAAGATAGAAATTCACTTATTCTGAGGATGCTAAAACTTAGTACTGAGTTACTTTTGTCATTTGTGTATAAAATTTATCTTAATGAGTTTTCAATTTGGGAAGTATATTTTTAAAAGATAATATATGTTAACCTTTTAATTAATGGATTATGTATATTTAATTTTGACACTATGTCTGTATATAAAAATATTTTCATACAATATTATAAACAAGTTGCCTACTTTGGATAACATTTCTCTTTTGATAATAAATGACTCATGTATTAACACTGTGAATTCACTTAATCCCAAGATAATTTATAATACTGAACCACTGTTTGCTGTTCAACTTTCATTCAAAATATGATATTTAATACCTTATTTCATTCAATATATGGTCTTTAATACCTTATTTCATTCAATATATGGTCTTTTATACCTTATTTCATTCAATGTATGGTCTTTAATACCTTATTTCATTCAATGTATGGTCTTTAATACCTTATTTCATTCAATAGATGGTCTTTAATACCTTATTTCATTCAATAGATGGTCTTTAATACCTTATTACTAAGAATCAACATAATTCTTAGTTAAGAAAATGAATATGAATTTTTATGGTAAATTCTAGTCTTTTAAAAGAAACCTTCAAATATACCTGTTTAGACTGTGTTTAGAAAGATCTTCTTCATTGAGTTGTGAAGGCCAAAGTTCTACAACAGCTGCCAATTTGCTTTTTTGTTGAACTCGTATTCTTCCCATTTCCCAGCCTCATGGCCATCTACTTGTCTGTTTTGCTGTATTTGATCTATAAAAGATGCAGCAATGGCACCATCAGTAATGTGGCAACACTTTCCTGCTCCTTCTCACTTTCTCTGACCCACAAGAAGTTTCATCCTGGATGGTAAACGTAGCTAGATTGGATAGTAGCAGTGTATAGATTCAGGAACTGTTTGTTTTTGTTTGTTTTTTTCTGTTCATCACTGTTTACTTCAGGAAAGGGAGTTGACTAAACTTTTGAGGAGCAAATGATTCTTCACTAAACTTTCTTCTGATGGACTTTTCTAAGTAGGATATGTTTCCACCATATAATAGCTAACTCTTTGGTACCCTGATGAACTGGTGCTATGGGTAAGCCATTAGCTGGAGAAATGAGGACATCTGCATTTCTAAAGGTAAATCTTAACCTTGAATTCTGTCTATAATGTTCCCTAATGGTGCTGAAAAAAAATTCTCTGTGGCAAAATAAGGGAGCAACATTTTTAAATGCTTATTAAAAGTAATTAAATTTTTCCATTCTTGGTTTTTATCATTTATTTATGATAGACTTCAATTGTAGAGAAGATTCATACTTAAAAAGTTTTTTAAAAACATATTCTGTGTGCTAAATGCTTGGAAAAATTACTTATATATCTATGGATTTATTGTTTCCTGGCCACTAGCAAAATAAGTAGAGGCAAGGGAGTCTGGTTAATAATGATCTTGGATATATTTTTATTATATCTAATTCCATGATTATAGAGATTTATCTCAATGAACATGTTCTCTCAAATGTGTGTGTGTATAGATCGCTTGTAATCAGTATTTTGTAAAATATGTCCCAAAAAAATCTAATCCTATTGATGGACAAAAAGGAAAACAACAGCAACAAAAAAATAAAATGGAGGACTGAGTTCTGAGGTCATATAAATTTTCTCTAATTGTGAACTAGATATTCACAATTCATAAAAGTATATTAAATGCTTTGAAAATTCATTCATAGAGCTGTTTAAAAGTTTAACATTAAATATAGCATTTCCAAAATTTACTTAGTTATAAAATACCACTATTATATAAAAGCCATTACCATAATACAAGGTTAGTATGATTGATGCAAGGTTAAAGCAATAGCAAGGGGAATATTGCTTCATACAAAAGGCATCAGTTTTTAAAAATAGGCCTTCAAGGAGTATAGTGAAGGAAATATTCTTCAGTTAAGAAAATTATGTTATTTTTAACTGACACACAAAGATTGTACATATTGCTTGGGGAGGTGTCACATGATATTTTAATATATATTTTGTGGAATATTCAAATCAGAATAAACATTTATTTTCTCAAATATTTATTGCTCCACTTCTTTGTGATAAAAGCATTCAAAGTTCTTTCTTCTAGTTTTTTGGAAATATTCAGTTATTGTTATTTACAGGGACCAAGCTGGGCACTGAATACCAGAATTTATTTCTTCTATCTAACTGTAACTTAGTACCCCTTGACCAGCCTTTCTGCATCCTGATAATTCTCTAAAACTAAACCACGAGAAACAGAATTTAAAAGTTTCTTTTCTAGTAAGCCACTTTCATTGACAGTCAACGTCAGGACATTTAACCAACCTACTATAAGTATTTCTCCAGAAACACACACCCTGTGTACTCCAAGTCAGACAGTTTCAAGGTATTCTGTACATGCAACCTTCTTGTCTTTAAATTCTTACTACTGAGAAACTTCTTCCAAATTCTATGCATATTCTGTTCAAATTTCAAGACTCATCTCAATTCCTTTCTCCTCAATTGCTATGGCTTTCATGGTAATTCTAGATAATATTATTTCCTTAGTTGCCCAAAGCATTTTATTGTCTGCATCATGCATTCTTATTCAGCCAAATTCATCTTAGTTCTTTATCTTTAATACAATTATTTAAATAATTTGTTTTTTACAATGTTTTATCTCCCCTGATTTTTTCCTGCCTTTCAGATCCTACTGAATTTATACCAACCCCTTTTCTCAAGATACCTAAGATGGGGAGATTTCTGTCTCTTTGTGAACATCCTATTATTTTACATTGATAAATGAGGAAATAAGACAAGCAAGCTCATTTGTGCACATTAGGTAGTATATTCAGAAAGTAGAATTAATGACTAAATTTTGTCTCCTTAACAAGACAAAGTGGTTGAGGCAGTAGCAAATAGGGCTTTATTCTAATGGCTGTGCCAAAGCAGCGGGTATTAGTAAACTGGAAAGTATTGGAAAGTGAGGAAACTTCTTACCCAAGTGGGAGAGGAAAACCTCAGTTTGGACCAATGCTAAATTATATAATACTTTTCCAAAAGCTATGTGCTAAGAACACTTAATTTGATCAATACATACAGCAACTTTAGGGAGGAATAAAACAACTATTTTTCCTTGCTTTTATTTCTCACTTGTACCTATACTTAAAGTATGTTTCTTAAAATTTAGTTTGTGGTTATGTAATACCAAGCTTAGGATAAGCATGGTGTCTTCATACGGTATATTGAATTTATTGAAAAGTCCTTCCTGTAGAGTATGGTTTTAAGCACTTCTCCCATTATCACAAGCACTGTAAAAGGAAAACGTGAGAAACCAAATTTGATTGTTGGAAAGTTTTCACATGCAAAGAGCAGATCCCAGTTTTGTTAGTTTAAACAATAAGGAATTTATTAAAGGCTACCTACTGGGTAATTCACAGAATCTCTGGGAAAGCAAGCGGTCAAGGTTGGAAGCTAATTAGTCAGAAACAATGCACGAATTCTGATGATGGGCTTTTCCAGGGGAGGACAGTCAGCTAAAGCGCTATCACAGGGAACAGGTTATATTTTGCTATTGCTATTTTCGAAGCTCAGTGTCTTGCTCACTAAATTTCACCATCCTCAGTAGGAAATGGAAACTGTACAGTCTCTGCTTCACATGACACATTTCAGAATCCAATTGTTATGTTCTGTCTTGGTTGTCAATTTGGCTTGAAAGACACCTAGAAAATTGGTAAAGCACACTAGTGGGTTTGTCAGCAAGGGTGTTTCCAGAGATGATTGGCATGTGTGTCAGTGAAGAGAATGGGAAAGAACCCCCCCACCAAAAGTGGGCAGCAGATTCCAATAGACTTGAGGCCCCAAATGGAGCAAAAAGCAAAAAAGTTAAGCTGTCACATGTGTGTGCTTGGCTGCCATTAAATAGGTGTGTTTTTTGCTGCTGCCACGCTCTTGAACATCACGCTTCAGAGTCTCAAGTCTCTGAATGCAGACTCATAACAGCAGCTCTCCAGGGCGCTTCCAGGCCTTTGGCCTTGGACTGGGGCTGCATCAGTGGCCCCTCTAGCTCTTAGGTTTCCTTCTTCTTGGACTGAGTGATTACTGGTTTCCCTGGCTCTCCACCCCGCAGATGGTCTTTGTGGGACTATTTAGCCTCCGTTCATGTAATCCAGACTAATAAATCCCCATGTATATATTATAGGTATTTTAAACTATATATATATGAGGGTATGTACGTATATTTTTTTTCTATTGGTTCTCTTGGAGAATCCTAGTATGTCTATTCAGTTGTCCCCAAGCCACATCACCACTCCATCACTGCCAAAAAGATTGGAAAACTAAATTCTATATATGACTTTCAGGCACTGAGATTCAATCCAGAAAATTCACCAAATACAGGACAATTTCAAAAGACGCTAGTCATAAACACGACAAATGCCCATTATAGACAGAAACAAAATTAAAGTTTAAAGTATAACTCACATCAAGATAATGTCACACTAGAAACTTAAGCAGTATTTAAATTTGTACCCTCCTAAAATTCACTTGAAGACCCTGCAGTCTTTGGATCATAGATGTCAATAGTTTAAAAAGGGGAACAAGAGAGATTATCTGTATAGTTTTACATAATTGAAATAACATATACATGTACCATTTTACACTAATTTTTCTCTTAGCAATAATATATAACCTTGTTTTGTCCTTAAAATTATTTGGAAGTGTTGACTAATTTCCTTCAGTTTTTATCACTGTATAGTACTAATCATGTTCTACATAAACATTTTCCTGTACTTTATTTTCCTGGGAAATATGACTTAAGAAATAAAATTATCGTTATGACGTGCAAATGCTTTAAAGATTTTTAAATTTAGTAAATGTTTTCAAAAGGTATTATCAATTTATATTCTTGCCATCAGTGAATAAATGTATTGTTTTGATGTCCATGGCAGTTTTGAGTTTTATAATTTAAGACTGCTGATTTGGTAAGTGAAAATTGGCATTTCATTATTGAGTTCAGTCAACCCTTCTAAGCACTACTGGCTATTCTTATTTCAGACTTACTGCTGCAAATTCAAAAGAGAAATAGAGATGAATGTGTCTAGACAGAGAAAGAAGGGAAAGACTATGTTATGTGACTTTTACTCAACATGACTTTTCCTTTGTGCTCAGAATGGAAGAAACAGTTCACATTTTTCAGATCCAAGGGACTCTACCACACACATTCTTTCTACTTACACTTGTATTTCCTTTGCCAGGTGATATAGTTCTTACACATATTTTACCAGGTTTTATCCCAAGCACTGGCACAAAGCAAATAAAGCAGGAAGCGGTCAGCTGTGTAACATGTGTTGGTAAGAAGCTCCCTCTTCAACACTTCTGTAGCATTCTGTCTCTGTGGAGTTCCATTAAAACAAATCATTTCTTTTTATCCTATTTATTTACCTATCAGCCTCTCCAAATAAATTATACCAATTTAAGGGTAGGGACTTAATCACATATCTTTTATTTTCTTGGTCTCTAGCATGGTCTAACTACTTATTACTTGCTCCCATTTAAGTACTGGTACTTTCATATGTTATGTAATATCAAGTTATCGGAGATGATTGGGGGGAAAAGGAGCTTTGCTGTAAAAAGAATGTGAAACCCACTAAATTGGTAAACAACTAAGATGAAACATTAAAGTAATACTTTAGGTATTTGGTAATATGTCAGAGTGGTATCTTTGAGATGCAAAATATTGGGAAATAGTATTTCAATCAGTTATTATCATACTGGTGACTGAGTTAAAATAGGTATCAATACTAAAATTACAACAATACAAATAACAAAAACTATTCTTATAAATATGTGATTTCCTGTTGTCAAAAAATCATAGCTATTTAAATAATTGAGGCTATTATTAATTACCCAAAAGCACCCCCTAGTGGCAACAAAAGCAATTCACACATAAGCTTACTTACATAATGGAAATCCTGAATACTTACTGAAAATATAAATGAGTGTGGCTATCATTAATTCTCCACTGCTCTATTCAATAACAATCACTTGGAAAAATCAACCTACCTTAGTACTAAAAATATACTTACTATATAAAATACAAACACATCCAAAATAAATAAATACACAGGGCCTGGGCTGACTTGTATCTGTGTATTTCTCATGTTCCATTTTCACTTCCTTACTCTTGGTAAAAGTATTCACCTCTAGCCTAGGGAAAACTGAGTATAAATTAAACATGTCTAATCTAACTATATTTTTATTAGAAATAACTTTTCTAAAACTTAAAATATGGCCTAGGTTATCAAATACTCATCAGATATTTGTTATTAAAACTGTAGCACTTAACTAGAAATATCCATTTCCAACCAATCTTGACATCACTGCTTTCAACTCCTAAATTTTATAGTATATGAATAAAATGTTTCTATGCCTTAAAAAACCTGCAAGAAAGCCCCCAAACAAATACTTCAATACAATAAAACACTGTATTTTAAAAAATCTGATGGTATTAAAAAAAAATGAAGTTACTTTTTCATTTGGAAAACCTGTATTTTTACCTTAAATATTTTATCTGCATTCTAGTGTGTTCCAATCTTTCTATGTCTGCTAAGACATCAATAAATAACAACTAGCATTTGTATGCTTCATGTCTTTATTGAATTGGTTCAAACTGAAGATATATAGAATAAAAAACATAGTAAGAAACAACAGTAGTCACAATAATCTGGCTTTTTCAAGCTAATAATGTTCAGAATAATCTCTGAGCAACCTTTACATTTTTATTTTAAGCATACAAACATTTTCCTTTCTACCACACTGGCAAATATTTGTGCAAATAAATAACATAAAATAAATGATGCATAGGAAGATTGTTTTAAAACTATTGCACAACAAATAAATGTGAGAGTAAAATATGCAATTAATACAACAATGCATTTTAAAATACAGTCACATTTTATAAATCATAAATACATTCACCTACTTACTGCTTATAATAATCTCTGGGCTCTGGAACTGAATGATCCTTATCAAGTCATTTCCATGTAGTACCCTGCTACTGTGAAACTCAGGGAAAAACAAATGTGCCAATTTGTCTTATTTGTCCTGATTTAGCTACTCTCTTTGAACAGAAAAGATTATGTGCTTCTTAAAAACATACTAGAGGAAAATAGTGTTCATTCCTAAGTAAAACAAGAATTGAAAGTTCTTTTTCATGTGATTTATAACAATTAAGACAGAAAATAGCTTATGAAATGGAAATCTAGTATACACATGTTCAAGCTGATGAATTTAATTTTTTTTTACCAGTACGACTACATAAGATAACTGGGGGTAAAAAAACTAATGAAAAAAAAAGAAGCAGAAAAGAAACTAGTACCTAGTATCACTAAGTTTATAATCTTTGCCCAAATTAAAATGAAACTAATAAACAAACCTCAGAGAAGTGAAATTCTAAGCCATGAATTTCTACATTGATCCTTATAGCTAATCAGAATCACAAACAAGAAGATAGGAAATACGTAACATAAAAATTTTGCTTGTATCTTTCTAATAAGATAAAGCTAACGGATGTGAATGAACAGAAATTTCTACAGAATTATTGACTATGGCTACATAAGCCATCAAAGAAACCTATTACTGAGCATTATGTTACACTAAAAGTGACAATGATCGAAAGTTCTTTCTTCTAGTCAAGAGAGAACTTAGTAAATATAAATTTTTGTGTATGTCTGCTGCAAAAAATGTAGTAAGTTAAAACTACTTTTCAGAGAGCTTATGGAAAAGGAAAAAAAATCTGGAAATACAACTGAAAGCAGAAAGAGAGTTACATTCAACTAATAATAGGTTAAAAAAACCATTCAGTTGTAAGTAAAGTAAGACACATTTGTATCTTTAGTGCAGTGTTCTGAAAAGTAAATTGCATAATTCCATTTTCTTAGAATGCTTTAAATTATATAACTAATAATCCACTAAGCTAGGTGCAACATAGACCTTAGATTTTTTTCTGAAGAATATAGAATTAGCGGTTGAAGATTTCAACAGGAAAATGACCTTACATCAACTGATACTAAAACATTCTCTTCAATTACAAAATCTGGAGAATCCCATCCTACTATGATACTATCTGAAAACAGGCACCAATAACGGCGTTTATTCTGCTGTTTTGCTCAAAATTGTGATTGATTATCCAAAGCCTGAAGGGCTAAGCTCTAAGGAGCATTTGTGGAGGTATCCTGAACTTACTTTAACAACAGGAGAGTAGTACCCAAGTTAATGATTCCATTTGAAATTATTTCCTGACATGTAAGTATTTCCTTGAGTGGCACAGCTTGGGATAGCAGGTATTTATTATGTACAGTACATATACATATATTTACAAACACACATTACACAGCCAAAGGATTATGCTCCAAAAATTTGGGGAAAGGTTATTTTGAATAGTTTTAGCATAAAATAACTAGAGGAAGTATTTTAGCTGTCCAAGCAGCAATAACCTTAAAACTCTGAAGCTGGTTCTTTTTCTTTTGGGATTCAGTTTACAGAATCATTCTTCGGATGCCACATTCACAGCAGAACTTTGCCCATTCTACGGGGTACTTTGTCCCACACTCATGGCAGAATTTTGGCAAGTGTCCAGATGAATTTCCTTCAATGCCTTTAATGTTTCCGCCATTAAGTGAAGATGTATAGTCTCCATCTGGCCTGAAGAAGTAGAGTAAAAAAAGTAAAATATGGAAAAAGTTCAGTTGTTATTGATCCAAAACAACTGAAGATCAGGACATAATAAATATAATTAAAATATCATTTTCAATATTCCTCAAGCTCAAACAAAAAACAATCTGTTGGTAAATACTATAATTCTAAATGTTTTCTTTAACACTGCATTTGTTTCTGTTGGAAGAATTGATCATGACCAAATACAACCACACTTTCCATCTGTTCTAGGTATAGGCCTTTACTATACTATGGGACAAAGAAGAGATTTTACAGTATCCTTTCTACAAAACCATCTTATTAAGAGAAAACTTTTGACACACCCCTGGGGCCATATGGAGGTCTATAGGTTCCAGGTCTCCCTTGTTGGCCAAAGGACTATGGGGTGGTATTTCCACTGTTCATTTTAGTATTTATTTTGATCTTATTACTGAATGATTTTAAAATTATTATAATGTGCTAAATAATAAAAAGTTCCGATGAATGCCACAGCAGGATGGGCTTTATTAACAAAACCTAGAAATGAAGGTAAAATATTGGAAGAAGAATTATACACTATGACAAAAACTTAAAGCAAAATGGTTGAGCTTCTAGGAGTTTCATCACTGAAGCCAGACAGTGAAGAAATTCAGATTCTACTGATGAAAAATTAACTGGAAAAGTAGCTATCTGGTTCCTATAAGAATATTTTTACATTCACTCCTGGCAAGATATTCTTCTAAGAACAAGCTATTTACTTTAAAGTTGCCATGAAAAGGAAACTCTTAAATCTAATGGTTTGTAAGAATAACACTATTGAAAACATTAGAGGTAGTTCTACAGAGAAAGTTACTAAAGAATTCTAGGTGTTCCCCAATCTGGGCATTTACAACCAGTGGATTTTCTATAAAAAGCCACTATGGATTTAAAAGATATAGAGATAAAAATGAAGCAAATGCCATCATTTTAAGTATTTAGATACTTCTTATTCACTCTAATTTTTAGTGCCACTAGAGAAAGGCTGGAAATTATGGTAATCTTCTGCATCAAGAAACACACTCTGTTAGATATTGAGAATAATTTATAGCATCAGAATAATCCCTTTAAACCACAAAGAAAATACTAAATTAATTAGGAGACATAACACTAATCAAGGAAGAGTGTTGGCTTAAGTGGTAGAGCGCTTATCTAGCAAGCACAAAGACAAGGTCCTGAGTTCAAACTCCAGTACAAAAACAAAAACAAAAAACAAACTTCAAATTGTAAATAATTTAAATATGCAAATTTAACTCTCATACCAACATTAGGAAATATTTAACACAATACCAGAACTTAAACTTGCACAGTGGCTAGAAAATTTAGACTGCAACTAGTAGTATATGAGGTTGCTCATTATCACATTTTCTAACATAATTTGTACTGTGCCAAGAGATTTTTATCTTTTTGATGAGAGTGAAATGATGGCATATTATGGATTTAATATACATTCTTGCCATTTAAATTTCTTCTACTTGTGAATTACCTGATCCTGCCTTCTACCCCATCAAAACACAGAGCTATTACTTATATGGGCTTGTTTTTAAAATTTTATTTGTAGAAACTCCCCACATATCCTGAGCAATAACTTGTTTGTTCATGTACATATAGAAAGTATCCTCCTCCCAACTGTCATGGTATTTCACTTAATCCCTGGAATCTGTTTTTTTTTCCCCCCTTTTTTTGTTGTACTGGGGTTTGAACTCAGGGCTTTGTGCATTTTTGCTGGCTGGGGCTAGCCTGAACCGCCATCCTTCTGTCTATGCCTCTGGGCATAAATAGCTGGGATCACAGGCACACCACCACAGCCCAGCTTATTTGTTGAGATGGAGTCTCGCTAACTTTTCGCCTGGCTCTCCATGATCTTCCCGATCTCCATCTCCTGAGTAACTGGCTGGGATTACAGTCAGGAGTCACTGGGACTGGCCATCTTCCTGAAGTCTTCTGCAGTACCATTTTTTCACTTTAATATGATAAAATAGATTCATCTTTTGCTGTACAGTGTTTGCTAAATCATTCAAGAAATTCTTTCACAAGTTAGATGATAATGACACTCCCCTATATTTTATTTTAAAATCTTAAAAGCTTTCCTTTTCATATTTGGGCCTTTAATTTACTTGTAACTTACTTTTTTGCTGTGTGTACAGGGGATCAAATCCAGAGCCTTGCCTATGCTAGGCAAGTGCTCTAACCACTTCTCTCATACCCCACACCCTGAAACTAATATTTCATATGTGATATAAGGTAGGTGTTAATTTTTTTCCCAAATATGTGTTTAAGTCCCAGCAGATCTCACTTCCAAAATCTGCATTGCTACCTCTGAAGTATAGATTTCCAGTTGTTTGTGAAACAGGTCTTTTGCTAACCATTCTATTCTGATTTTTGCTTCAATGTGTCTGTCCAAACTATCTTAATTACTATAACTTCATACATTATTCACACTTTTCTTTAATTTGTTCTCACTTAATTTAGGCTTTTGTTCTTCACACACACTTTGAGAACAGATTCATGAACTGTTTGAAAATTGCACTAAATTTATACATTATTTTGGGAAGAAGTACAGATAAGTTTATAAGGCAGTTAAATTTTCTATTTTATGAAAAAGTTTTTTTAACTCTATTTAGATTATTATTATTATTTAAGTTTTTAAATTTTCTCCATCAAAATTGCTTGGCTTTTAAACTGAGTTTAATGTGACTTAAATCCGTGTGTGTTCCTGTGGGGAGCTTTCTAAAAACTACATTTTCTATTTGTGGCTAAGAAACAAACTAACTTTTAACACACTGATCACATATTCAGAAAATTAACTAAAACATCAACATTATTTATACAATAATTGGTCTTTTGGGGGGAGGGTCTATATACATGTTTTCTGTATTATGACTATGATTTCTACAAATAATTTTTTACTTTTATTTGCATTTCTAGTTGGTTTTGGTAGAAAGCTTTCAATACTACACAATCCGTCTTACTTGTAGGAAAAGAAATCTCTGAGATTTCTTCATCTGCTATTATCACAATTATTTCTACATCTAGGAGAAGTCAAATAAGCAAGGAAGGCTCTGGGCTTTCCATCAGGTCTCGATCATTTAAAAAAAATTCTTAATATGATTTTTACCCGTTAGTGGGTACTTCATCTTCGTCTACTTCTATGGAGAACTAAGATGGTGTTTTATTTAAGCACATGATTTTATATATGCTTATGTACATTTTAAATATTCCATTTTCCTAAGAGAATGTTAATCCTAGACTCAGCCTTGATTCAAAACATATGATTCCACATGACATGTAAAATCACAATGCAGACCTCTAAGAAACATATGCTCATTTCTTTGCTATATAATATTTATCAAAACCTCTGCAGAGACAGATGATCCTTATTAAAGGAACTTCCTAGGGAGACAGAAATCCATTTATTCCACTGTGGTTCTCATCCTCTGTTGTGACTAAACATCACTCTTAAAGCTTTCTACATGGCAGGGACATAAATGCTGACTCTCCAAACTAAAAATACCAAAATCTCTGGGAATGTTCTGGACATGTTTAATTTTAGGAGTTCCAAAGGTGATCCCAATAGGCAGCCAAGACTTAGAGCTATAGCTTAGATTCTTACAAATTTATCCCTGGATTAAATCAGAATAACGAATAGCTAAATAGGTTATATACTTAAAAGAAGGCAATATATTCACTGAAACAACACACTCACATCACAATTATTTTTTGATGAATCAGAGGACATCTTATTATTTGCCTATATCATATTACCTATATGATATATTTGATACACTGTAAGAAATTGTGTAAATGCCACAGTGTACCCCAACCAGCGCAATAAAGGGAAAAAAAAAAACACCCTATGAAATTTATTTCCACATTTAGACTAAGGATCTTATCTATTATATTGTTACCCAGTGTCTTCCTTATTAGAAACCATGACAGAACTTTTAAGGCCTCAGGACTAGCTATACTTTTTCAGAGAAACTGATTTTTTGTAGTTTTGCAGACATCATGAATCATGTACCTATTCCTATATTCCTGTGTCTGGTTGTTAAAATTCAGACTCAATTTATGGTCCAGGACTAACCTATATATAAGGTCTGACACATATCATATGGATTAACTTCACTTCTATTTTTAATTGTATCTTTTAATTCTTAGTTTTCTATTTTTCTCCTACTCTTCTTCTATCTAAAAACCAATATTGTATCTCATTGTACTTCATAGATTTATGTGCCTTGCTTTGAAACCTTCTGGAAGAAATTGGTATATGTATATAAAATAAGTGTCTATAATTGAGGCGAGTTAATTGTAGGTTTAAAGACAGTGAATGCCAAAGTTGTGACAGATTAGAAAAGGAATTTTGTGGATAGTCACTTCAGAGAATAAGTTTAAATATTAAAATAGTGCTGAAAATTGTGAGAGTTGTGGTTCATGGTCTATGATTCCATTTGTAGAGGTAAAAGTACTCAGGTTTGCGTTAAAATTAAGACACGGAATGACAAATCCTGTAGAATAGAACAAATTGTCTTTAAGCACCTACAATAATAATTATAACTACACATTAAAAGAAAATAATATTTATCCCTCAACTGTTTATTTTGTATACAACTTAAAAGCTATACTGTCACATAATAAAAGACAAATGAGATTATCTATACATAGCTTGTTATTTACTTTCGTATCTGGGACTTGGAAAGCTCATTTTCATTTTGGTTATTAGGATTATTGAGCTAAACATACCTGGCTATGTAGCTATCAGTATACGTTTTTCTTTTGTTCATAAGCACACCTGACACAGAATTTCTTGCCAAACTAGGTGGTGTAGAATTACGAGATTTGATGTTAGCTCTAGAAGAGAAGAGATAACATGAAGAAAAATTATCAAATACAGGCATTTCTCAAATTACCTACTTATACAGTTAAAAAAATTAAAAGGATGAAGGAAAGTTCAAAAGATCAAAGTCCAAATGATTATTTTAAATCTGAAAACAAATAGGAGCAGTTAACACTGAAGATAAACCAAAGCATTTTGTATACACTAAAAGTATCTTGATAATACACATCAATTTAAAATATTTGCATGTGCTTCACATTAAGTCTGTAAGTTAATCATTCTAAAAGGCTTCTTCTATTTTAAAGTCTAATTTATACTTCCTAATACATAGATGTGGCTCAGTGCTTATGAATAACTTAAATAATACATTAAACAAGTTTTATTATTATCCTAAGCCTATGGTATGTGGTTAAAAAAAGAAACATTAGGTAACCAATTTAAAATTTCAATTTATGAATGCTTTTAGAAAGAACAAATAAAATAAATGGGCTAATATAATTTTCCCTTTGAAGATTTAATTTCATCAACTGCAGTGTGAGATATGGTACCAGAGAGACTTTTGGTTGGATCTGAATTTCCATTCAGACACTTCATGAATCCCAGCAAGTTTAGGAAGTTGAATGATGACCTAACACTAAAATTATAGGGCTTGGGATTCACACACATTTAGATTCAATGCTCAATTAGTACTGAAAAGCTTTGTGACAGTATCAATGTCTCTGATTGTGAATTCCCTGAACAATAAAATATGTTATAGGAAGTCTGTGAAACATAAATTCATATAAACATTAGCATTGTTGATAATACTACTATTTTTAATGCTACTTCTGTAAGTTAACATTCACATAGTATGTACTACATACATATCAAATACATTTCTAATTGTTTTGTATAACATAAATTTATTTAATCCTAATAGTACTAAGAAATAAAGATTAATAACTGTTTTACAGATGAGGTTCCTTACATTTCACACTTCAGAAATATTGTTACATAAACAGGCAGAATACTTTTAAAAATTCCTCTTGATTTGAAATTCCTAAACTTTGGCTGAAGTTCTTCAGCCAAATTGGGAGGCACTCTTCAAAAAGCTTAAAGAACTACATCCAAAATATGTGTAGGTAATAAATTATTTATTCAAGCAAACATGAAACTAGGTATTCCTTTATGGAACTGTCCCCTAAATCTCAGAAGACATTACTCTCATTTCAAAGTTGAAGAACTTTTTTTTTTCCTGCTTTTTGAGGTGGGGTCGCAGTAGGCTGCCTAGAGTGATTTTGCACTCCTGGGCTCAAGTCATTCTCCCACTCAGTTTATAGAGTGTCTGGGACTATAGGTATGCACCATCATGTCCAGCTTGGAGAAAACCATCTTCAGACAGGTAATTTAAACTGCAAAATTATGTGGCCATAGTAGTACTGCACTTATATTTCAGTGAGTTGTATTATGAATCTCATATTTTATATTCCATGCTATCATTCACAGAGTGGTTGCTTTGAATAGTTCCTTCCTCAACAAGCGAAGCATCACTCTGGTGGTGCATGGATGAGATGCCTTAGACTTGTTCAGATGATCATTCCAAGTCCATCCATGAAGTGATTTTACTCTTCTTTGGTATAGCCATTTAGGGATGTTGCAGAATGAACATAGTACCTCTTAGGAATTCGATCTCTAAAGTAAATCATTGTTAAATAATGGCATTCAAATAGGAAAAATTCTCCCACCTCCTTTTTTTTTTTTAAAGCTTTAGAATAGTTTCGTCAGAAATCTTCTTATCTTCATATAGTATGTGCCCAAGAGGTATAGACAAACAGACATAACTACCATATCATTTGAGTTATTTAAAATGATTACATTTAGAGGAAAATAAAAGTGATTATCAACATAAACAGCTGCCATATAAAATGTCTATTACCATTTTTTAGTAATATCTTCTAAGAAGTGGAATCTGAATGTCAAGAACCAAGAACAATTCTTAAAAGACAGGGCAGAACTGTCTTTTTTTTTTTTTTCCCCCACAGCACATGAGTTTGGACTAAGGACTTCAGGCTTGCTAGGCAGGTGCTCTACCACTTGAGCCACACCTCCGGCCCTTTTTGCTCTTATTTTGGAGATAGGGCCTCACTTTATGCCCAGGCCAGGCAGCTCGCAATCCTCCTATTTATGTTTCCCTGCCATAGGTGGGATGACAGGTGAGTGCCAAGCTGGGATGACAGATATGCACCACTTGAGACCAGCTATTAGTTGAGATGGGGTCTTGAAAACCTATTGCTCGGGGATGGGCTTGAGCTGTGATCCTCCTAATCTCTGCATCCCAAGTAGCGAGGAATACAGAGTAAACCACTGGGCCTAGTAAGAACTATCTGTTTTGATTAATATTTAAAACATTTTAAACATTTTGCCCTAGAGTCTGACATAATCAAAACAGTTTTCTTCTGAGCCAGTGTCTGAAAAGTTTTATCCTTATTCTTTATCCATAATTTGTTTTCTATAGACCACATAAACAATAATGGGAGGTTTAATTGTGGAATCACACTTAATCCATCTTACTGTTAGTTAGGCTTTCTCCAGTATCTGCTTCAGAGAGAAAAGACAGTAGTAAGCACATTTCAAAAGGATGAGGACACAAAGTCTTCATTCCATGATTTAGCACTAAGTACTCAAAAATAACCCATGGAGTCTGCTAGTACCTTAAGACTTCTTCTGTCTTTATTTTACTGTATATCTAGTTAAGTTCATTATTACATTTCATGCATAAATAATAAAGTAGAATGTTGTAGTACGCATTGTTTTAAAAATTAACTGGTTGATAATATTTGTCAAATTTAATAAAAAATTAATTTTAGTCCCTTATTTTATCGTTTAAAATGATAACATGGGGCCTACAGTTGCTACTGAAGCCCAAGTTAGTAAACCTTGAATATTCATGGCATAGACTTTCAAAAACAACCTTCACTGCCATACTCTCTTCTTGGTCAACTAGGCCAGAACAGAGGATTATCTCCCATAGTATCATACGTTTCCTGGTTTTATGTGGAAATTACAATCACCTAACAGAAAGACTAAGAATACCTTAATTGAGTGCTTTCTGATGTATTTTATTCCTAGATATAATAATTCATCATTTGCTTAACTAACAGATAATTCAGGAGTATTATATATTAAGTATAATTTTCCCAATACTCTTCTTTTTAAAACTATTTCTCCTTAAAAAAAGACTTCATAAAAACAGCTGTTGAATATGGTTGCTAATATAGCCTTTAAAATCTAGTATTTAATGGAATAAAATAAAAACAGGGTTGGTCCAAACAACAGAAGCACCTGACAATAAAAAATATTTTGAGTCCCAGAGATTATTTAGCAATTTTTTGGCTTAAATATGATTATGCTAAGATTACTTTTTTGAGTATACGAAGGTAAAAGTTACAGTATTCTATGATATATAGCCTTTAAGAAACTATCTGAAAAAGATTAACCAAACTGAGTTATAAATACTTACTTGTAAATGGGTAATAACTCATGTCTTTTGAAGGCACTGTCTGATTTTGTATCACTGTCATACAACCTTTGCACATTTCTTCCAGTTCGAAGTGGAGGGCCTAACTTGTCCATCTTACTATTAAAATATATAAAGGTGTACCCATAAGGAGATTGCTACTGTTTGTTTCTTTACATAATTTTTTTTAAAGAAAAAGACATTCTGGTTCATCAGAAAACTGCCCACATCCTTTAATTATCTGATTGCCAGAGCAAGAACTAACATTAAAAGAATTCTCAAGAGTTCTTACAAAGTCCACTATTAGGCCAGCAAATTCTGATTATGCAGCCACACTGGTAGTTTTGGTGCAGATACAAATAAATTAAACATTCATGCAGAGCAGGAAAATGGAATCAATCAGGAAAGACAAATGTTTTAAAGAAAATCTGTAAAGCTAGAAGTGAACTGCAAGCTGTCATTCACAAATAATCGAATCTTTCCTCTTCTCTGAGTTGATAGAACCTTTCTACTTTTTCTTTTGCATTATTTGGTTTTGTTTTCCCCTGCATTTTAAAGTTCCAAAACTAAAATATGAGTCGAATAACTAATATTTTTATCTTTATCCTATTTGGCTTTCTAATAAATAATGAGTTTATTTCTGAAATTTATGTAGGGAAAAAGTAAAACATTACCTATGTAAAATAAAAAAACACGAATAGCAATTCCAAAAATCACATGTAAAGGGTTAAATAAGCAAGTAATGTGAAACATTTCAAAAGTATATAGGATTTCCATCTAGAGGGTAACAGGACAAACTGCAGGTATGTAGCATATTTCATTACTTTACATCAACCAAATAATTGAATCAATCGATATCCATTCATAGCATCAAACAGGAAAAATTAAGAAATTAAAAAACTGCCTTCAGTGACTGCTGGGTAACATCTCATTGCTAAGAACATTAAAAACAAATTCTTTAGAAGAGAAATTCGCTCATTCATTTTTTTTCAATGAACCCTGAGCACCTACTGTGTGCCAAACACTAAGCTATATTTCTAAGGACATAGTGGTGAGACAGAAATGATGTTCTTATGAAGGTTGTCAAAAAAAAAAAAATCTGTTCATCTTCCTAGATTATAAGGATCTTCAAGAGAAAAACATTATACTCATTTTTGTTCCTTCAGTTGCCTATCCATAGTAGGTGTTTTGTCATAAAACTTGACAGCAATATTCTGTAAGTGGTGGTATTTCCATTGGGAATTAAAGTTTATAAGCTGGCCTCATTAAATATGTTAAATATAATTTCTAAAATGTTTGTGATTTTTTTAATTTGTGAAAGATCAGAAAATTCAAGCACTTAGAATTTTAATTGTTTTTTTCTTTGTATTGCTAAATAATTATCAAACCGTTACTATTCCAAACAGTGGTTATTTTTAAAAAGGCATGTGTGCCGAGTTCAATCCCCAAGTCCAGGGGAGAAAAAAAAGCATCTGTGGTTTGCAAATAGGGACTAGAAGATCCTTCTCAGAAAAATTGTTACTAAGATTAAATTTTAGCCTAGCATGACAAGGCCCTGTGACCTGGGTTCAACCTCTAGCACCACCAAAAGAAAGAAAGAAACAAACAAAAAACAAAAAGAAATCTAAGAATAAACTGATAAAAATTTCTAGATGCTGTTGACCAACCAAAATTGAATTAAAATAAACCATCTAAATAGATCTATAACAAGTAATGAAATTGAAGCAGTATTAAAGAGTCTGTCAACAAAGAAAAGCCTAGGACCCAATGGATTCACTGCCGAATTCTACCAAATCTTCAAAGAACTAATACCAATATTCCTCAAACTCTTCCATGAACTAGAAAGGTAAGGAATATTACTAAACACATTGTATGAAGCCAGTATTACACTCATCCTCAAACTGACAATGCCACAACAAAAAAAGAGAATTATAGGCCACTGTTTTTAAGGAACACAGGAGCAAAAATTCTCAATAAAATACTGGCAAATCGAATTTGACAACACATTGAAAAGATCATACACCATTATCAAGTTGGTTCCATTCCAGGAAGGCAGAAATGGTTCAACATTTGCAAATAGATGAATGTAACACAGCACAAAAAAGAAGCATGAACAAAGCTCAATTATCTCATAGACGTAGAGGTGTTTGATGAAATTCAACACCCTTTCATGATGAAAGCTCCGAACAAACCAGGAATTGAAGAAATGTACCTCAATATAATAAAGGCTACAAATGTCAAACCAACATTGTACTAAATTGGGAAAAACTGAAAACATCTCCTCTAAAGTTAGTAACGAGACAAGGTGTTCACCTGCTCACTTGTATTTAATGTAATTTGGAATTCCTAGGCAGAACAATAAGACAGGAGGAAGAAAAAAGGAATTCAACTAGGGAAGGAAGAAGTCAAATTATTTCTATTGCTGATGATATGATCATATGCCTAAAAGACCCTAAAAACTCCACCAAGAAGCTTAGACATCATAAAGACTTTCAGAAAAGTAGCAGAATACAAAGTCAATATACAAAAATCAGCTTTTCCGTATATCAACAATGAGCAAAGTGAGAAAGAATTTAGTAAAACAATTCCATTTACAATAGCCTCAAAGAAAAATAAAATAAAACACTTAGGAATAAATGTAACAAAGGATATAAAAGATCTCCACAATAAAAACTGTAAATTACTAAAGAAAGGAATTGAAGAGGACATCAGAAGATGGAAAGATCTCCTAGGCTCATGGATTGGGAGCATAAATATTGTGAAAATGGCTATAATACCAAAAGCAATCTACATGTTCAATGCAATCCCATCAAAATTCCAGTGACATTCATCACAGAGACTGAAAAATCAACCCTAAAGTTCATATGGCAGCACAAAAACCATGAACAGCCAATGCAATACTGAGCAAAAAAAGCAATGGTGGAGGTATCACAATAACTGACTTCAAACTATGCTAGAGTCATAGCAATAAAAATAGCATGTACTGCATGAAAACAGACATGAATACCAATGGAACAGAATAGAAGAGCCAGACAAAAATCTACACAGCTACAGACATCTTATTTTTGACAAAGTTGCCCAAAACATACATTGGAGAAAGACAGCCTCTTCAACAAATGTTGCTGGGAATACTGGATATCTCCATGTAGAAGGCTGAAACTAGATCTCTTCTTTTACCCAATAGTAATATCAATTCAAAGTAGATCAAAGATCTTAATGTAAGGCCTCAGACTTTGAAACTATTACAGGAAAGAATAGTAAAAACACTGGAACACATAGGCATAGGCAATAACTTCCTGAATAGAACTCCAACAGCTCAGCAATTAAGAGAAAGGATCAACATATGAGACTACATGAAGCTTAAAAAGCTAATGCACTGCAAAAGAAACAGTCACTAGACTGAAAACCCAGACGACAGAATGGGAGAAAATCTTTGCCAGCTATACATCTGGCAAGGGATTAATAACCAGAATTTACAGGGAGCTTAAAAAAACTAAACTCTCAAGGACTCAATGACCCATTGAAGAAATGGGCAAATGAACAGAACAGAATTTTTCCAGAGAAAGAAATACAAATTGCCAAGAAACACATGAAGAAATGTTTAACATCTTTGGCTATAAAGGAAATAAAAATCAAAACCATGTTAAGATTTCACCTCATTCTAGTCAGAATGGCTATCATGAAGGACACAAACAACAACAAATGCTGTTGAGGATGTGGGGGAAATTTGGGGATTAAGTTAGCACAACCACTATGGAAAGCAGTATGGAGGTACTTCAAAAATAATTCAGACTACTACTACTGGGCATATATTCAAAGGAATGCGCATGTATATATATACCACATAAAACATATTTTCTTAATCCAGTCATCAGTTGTAGGACCTGGACTGTTTCCATAGCATGGCTATTGTGAATAGTGTTACAGTAAACATGGATGTGCAAGTGTCTTTATTGTATCCTGACATACATTCATATGATGTGTTACCAACTTAATCTTGACTCAAACTTCAACCTACGAAAGATCCTTGTTTACTGTTGATACCAAGAATGAGTTCACTCAAGGACTAAGTCATCTATATTCTGGTTTACTAAGTATCTTATAAGACTGCAGTAAGCACACTAGATTGAGGTATAATCAAAAGATTATTTCTGAAACCATACTGGGGAAAAAAAATTCCACCCAGTGGCATTTTGTATCTTTGTGGACCTCTGTAGTTATGATACTCTAAGGCATTCACATTTCAGAAATGTGTCAGACATCTACTTTAGATTCTAAAATCTAAATTCTAAACCCATCATAGATAATTTAGTTTTAGTATCTATGGCAAAGTTAGCTCCCTAATACAAGAGCTACAATAGTTTTTATACTATAAGAAGCCAAGCTATGTGATTCTAAATTGTTTTACATATTTCTAGATCATTAAGATGGAGAAGTTCATAAAAATCTAATGTTCCATACGCACTCAGTTCACACACATCAAAAGATTAGTTTATAATAAAAGCATGTTTCCACTCATGCAAAATATACACATTTATTTCTTCTATTTTTAATATAATAAAGTATTAGAAACCAAATTTAATTTTTGACTTAAAAATGCTCTTTATTGTATTCTATGGTTATAATTTCAACTCATTTACTATTGTTAGTCACTGAGGTAAACTTATTTTTCATAGTAATTGAACCAAAGTAAATCTCTGAAAGGTGATACCTTAACTTTTGAAAATTATTAAGTAAGATACACATTTAAACTGGTAAGTAATTATTAAGAAAACACAGTTCTCAAGACACAACTGTGTAAACTCTGTGACATAATTCAAATGTGGCAATATTTAAAAGTTTACCCTTTCATCAGACCTCTAAAATTTCCTATGATTAAAGATCTCTTATAATCTTTTAGAATAAGGAAAAAAGTTTTCCATTAGGTGTGACTCACAGGTTGTCCAGAATTTAATTACCAAACACAAGAATGTTTCCAAGTACAAAGATTAATATTTTTGTGTCATGACTCTAATACATGCTAACTTTACAGCTCACCATATACCTGAACCCTATTAAAGATTATACACACCAGGCTTTCAACAATCTCAAGATAACAAAGTGATGTCTTTAATACAATAATCTCAGCAGAAGCTGAATTTCTTGAATGTTACAGTTAATCAGATGTCTCAATTCCATCTTCACTCAATCCTGAATCAACTATGTAAATGAAAAAAACAGTTGCCATACAAACTTCAAGTAATTTTTTCACTCCCACCAGGACCTCAATGCCATGATGAGCCAACAGATCATATTTGAGGAATATAATTTATTAGTTCATTATCTTTTTTTGCTTATTCACTAAAAATTTATTATATGCCTATATGGCAGACATTCTGCTAGATTTGTAGTTACATTTGTTATTAGTCATACTGCAGTCTCTATCATCTTGGCGCTTACAATCTATCAAGGGAAACAAACAAATAAATCATTACCTCAATAATCTAAAAAGGGACATATACCACTAAACAGACAATTGTAATTGCTTTAATATAGTAATGTTCCAATTAATATAGTGAACTTATTAGTCGCAAACAAACATCATTACTCTCTTTGGAGTAGATAGAAGGATCTTATATAAAACAGACAATCAGAATTTGAACAAGTATGATTGGCAGTTTAATGCAGCAAAACCAAAATTTTTAATCTTCATGGCATTATAAACAGTGTACAAGTCACAAAAGTATTGTGCTCAAAAATGTCTGCTTGTTTGAAAAACTTATTTTCCTTTAAGGATAATATAAACATAGGTAAGATATCTTAGATAAGTTGTCAAGGTCTAAACAGAGTCAGAGAACATTGTCAATGTGAAACAGAGATATACTCAAACCCATATACTTATATAGTGGCACAGTAGTATAAAGAAGCCTAATTTTTCTAACTCCATGCCCTGTTTTCATCATCCAGCCAGTTTCACATGTTCTACTTAAAAATAGTATGTCAATACAACTTAATACTGCCAACTGATAAAACCACCAGCATGAAAGAAATATATGCCTTTTAATTAATTATCAACTGAAAATGACACTATAACCACTACAAAGTATTATAACTAACACAGAAAGCAGTTCTTTTTGATATGGTAGGAAGGCTTTGCAAAATTAAGTTTAATGAAAAGGCCAAACAAAATGAAATGTTAATATTATTTATATATGTATCACTAATAAGTTATTCATGGTAGACTTACCCTGCCTGAGGGGCTGCTATCACTTTATGAGAAGGAGATAAGGTCTGAAGTTTATTTCCCAAAGAGCTGCTAACTGAAGACACTTTACCTGAAGGCATACCTTACAATAAGAAAGGCAATAATTTTAAGAATATGCTGAAAAACAAAACTGACATAAATAGGATCTGACAAGGAAAACAATTCTTCAGAAATGCTATGTCTATAAATCAAGTTATCAAATCAAAATATTCTTTTAAGAAATGTTATTACCAGGGATCATGTTCATTTCTAATTTCTATCTTATAATTTACATAAAAATAAACTTTATTGGTCATTATCTTCTTCAACTCATTAACTATTTGTCTATTAGAATAGTTGTCAAGTTAGCGAATGAGAAGCCAAGGAAGAAGTACGGGAAAATACTGTGTTCAAAGAATCAAGAAAAGGAAATGTTAAGACTATTCTGAGCAGATATACATCAATGACAACATCAAGGGTGTAAGGAAAAAAAATCTAAAGTAGGAACTATTGAAAGTTACTTCATTTTTACCCAGACGTAATTACCAATCCACACCTCTTCATAATTACAAATCTATTTTGATAATTCTAATAGGCCACTATCTTCATTTTCTTCTCTAACATAATTTTTATTTGAAGCTATTCTGTGAATCTCATTACCTGTAACAGTTTTGCTAGTGCTACTTGGCTGTGGTAATCGTGAAGATCCTGATGACATGGTTCCAGGAGAATTTGACTTTTTAAGTGCAGGAGGCTTATGCTAAAATAATGAAAAAATATTTCATCAATATAATTTTTAAGTATGGATGTAAATTAGTAACTTGAAAGCTCACATGCCCCAAGTATAGAATTTTAGCTTTATAAGAAGAAAAGAGCTATCAGATGGATGGTTGTGATGGCTGCATATTATGAATGTACTTAATACCACTGACTGTGCACTTCAAGTGGCTAAAATATAAGTAAATTATTTATATTTATAAAAAAATTTTACTGAAATTGGAAAAAGTATATTTCTGACAAAATGGTTAGTGAACTATTTGGATCAACTTTTCAACAAAAAAACTAAAAATTCCAGGAAAGTATAGAAAAATCATTCTAAAAGCACTGAATGTTAAATGAGAAGAAAAGAAATTTCCAGGACAATGCCATTTGAGGTTGTAATAATCACCTGGCTGGCACACGGATTTGCTGTATAAATTAGGCTAGTCTAGCAATCTAATACTGCTAATTTAAGCAGTTGGAAAAAGCACCTCACGTGAATAAACATGATAAAAATGTGAACTTTTAAGGGTAACAAGCAGCAGTCAATAATCATGGACATAAGGAATTATGAATGAGGGGGAACATGATAGCAGGAACATATTTACCAAGAGCACATACTATTATAATTATCAGATACGCATTACAACAAAACTAATTACATGTACTACATTTAAAGAAAAATGTGAAAATGGGAAAGCAGAAACAATAAAAATTAGGAAACTAAAAAGTTAGTCAACCTTCAGAAATTGAAACTACAGTGAAAAATTACAAATTCAGTGATAGAGGGTGAAGTGGCTATATAACACTCTTCAGTCAGGTAACGACTCTAACGGTAAATTAAGAAAAAACTAAGACTAGAAACCACATAAAATCTATAACTGTGTCCTCTAGGCTTAACTAACTAAGACAGTTCTCCACCCCCAAAAAATGAAAGCGAAAAGAAATTACACGTCACAAAAGATGACAATCCAGGGTTTTTGTTTTTGTTTTTTTGCTGGCCCCCAATTTGCCAAGTAGCCCAAGGCTGCCTTCAACTATTGATCCTCCTGCCTCTAACTCTGCTACTATTGCAGATATGTGCCACCAAACCTGACTCCTGAATCCAGCTGTGATATATTATTTACAATATCTAGCCATTTCAACTTGTTCTATTTTCTTTAACTTAAATACATGCTCTGTACAACCTATCAAGAATAATTATATTGAATATAAATGTCTAAACATTTCCATAAGTGGTAGTTGCCAGACTTCATTAAAAAACAAAAACAAGTACCAATTATAGACTGGTCTGCAGGTTATGCAAAAACACATTTGATTTTCTAAATTAGCCATTTAAATTTCTTACTAAATCCCTTAGCAATAATACACCTATTTTAGTAGAAAACTATAATTTAGTTGGGCACCGGAGGCTAATGTCTGCAATCCTAGTTACTTGGGAGATTAGGAGGATCATGGTTCAAAGACAGCTCAGGCAAAATGGGGTTCACAGCTAGTTCAACCCCATCTCCAAAATAACCAGAGCAAAATGAACTAGAGGTATGACTCAAGTACAGCATGCTTTATAAGCATGGAGCCCTGAGTTCAAACCCCAGTCCCATTAAAAAAAAAAAAACAACAAAAAAAACCAAGTTATAATTTAATGTCCTATGAAGCATATATATAAAACCATGAATCTGAAACCATTGTTTTTTCACTGATTTGTAGAAATGATTAAAATTGAGCATTTCACCTGTGCCCGTGATGTTGGTTTTACTTTGGTATCAGGAAATTTGCCCTTATTACTGATACGTGCTGCTTGCTCTTTGCAAAAATTTATATGTCTATCAGCTGCATTTTCATTGAATCTCCTCTGGCAATATGGACATTGAATATAATCTAAAGCAGATAAAAAAAGAAGCAAATTAATAACAGAATACTATCAACAGTAATTCAAGATTTATAAGTAATAACATTTGATAAACAAAAATGTTTATATCTGTCTAACATTCAACCTAACTTACCTAAACTTAGTAAAGATTTTTTTGTGTGCCATGTTAATGGTCAATTTTTAAAAATCCAATATATCAATCCTAACTTTCTCCTAGCTTTGAATCATATCTGAGAAAAATAAAGGATATATCCTCAGTACAAAAGAATAAGTAGAAGAAAAAATATTTTTGTTGCTTCTATAGTACCATATGCTTTCATTGAGGATACAAATTTTATATAGTAGCTAAACAGTAATAACACAGTAAAATACAACTTGAAATACAGGCTCATCTATACCAAAAAAAAGAAAAATGGATCACATTTACAATTCCTTTGGGAGGAAATATACCCTAGTTTAGAGTGCTAGCACAATTTTAATATGGCTAACTTGGTACATTAAGATAACAATCTCCTTAGGGTATTCTAATTACCAACGGCAAAGTGTCCATTGTGCTATTTTACGTCCATCATATCTCATCTGGTTTTGCCAGACTCTTGCTTTACTTTGGTAATAATGCAACTTTCTTAGCTACACAGTGAAGTATATCACCACACAAACTGACAGCATAATTTAGGTAACTGGTCTACATCATGTTTCCCCACTCCAATTCTATGTTTTACAAATAATACTGATCATGACTTTTTCTTCTCAAATAAGAAGATACCAAAGAACCAGGCAACAAAACTACATGAATACTACTGAATGAATGTGTCTCAATCCACTGTGAGCATGTGTGCATTATTTCCTAGATTACCACTAGTTACCATAATTTAAAAAATGAGACAAAATGTTTTATCTTCAAGCAAAGGGATTGTGATCAAAAGATAATTCCTTTTGTCTTATGTTTTATTAGACCATATTCATTAAATGGGGGGGAATGGATTCATGACAATTCTGTTTTATATAGGTATATAAAGTCCATGTATCATATACCGTCACCTTAATCTCCTTCCTTCACCTTCCCCCCCATCCCTAGTAGCCATCCCCCACTATACCTTATTTTGTAGAACTGGTTTTCATTATTAATATTTAAGTTGATATTCAAAAGGCTGTCTCAATGTATGCCCACTGTGGGTGTGCTTTACTTTGGTCTGTTCAACCCCTTCCATTACTCTCCTTTAACCCCCCACCCCCATTTTTCAATAACTTTTAATAGACATCTTATATCCTTTACCTTCACATCTCATATTATGCAGTATTACTGATGTGCCATCAAAGGATAATTTCTATGCTCTATTATAATGCACCTGGATTATAATCATCATTTTATACCAAAACATCTGAAGATTATACTTAAATTCTATTATAATAAACTGAGTTTTATAATTTAAAACATAAAAATTCTGTCATTATTATTTGTCCACATGAAGACTTCTGTTAATAATATTCCATATACCAGGATCATAAGAAGGTGGTGGAGGAGGAGGAAGCTTGCCACCCTCTTTAAGTGCCTGATCAAGGCCTTTAGCTGCTCTTATTGTGGCAATGAATTCTTCATGTTTTCTTCTCCAATTGGATGGTTTCTTTGGTGGTTCTGGCTATAAAGAAAAACCAGTATCAAAACATGATTTTAGTAAACTGAAATTAAATAAGGTAAACTAAATGCCATGCTATTTTAAATGTTCTCTTAAAAAGAATCTGTAAATGATCTCAAATTAAAAGAAAATTTTAAACAAACTTTATGCAATTGCACTGCATGCAACTTTTTAAATGCACTTCTAATGGTGACAGACACTTCTGAATTGCCTTCTACAGCCACTTATGATTCCCACTAAGTGATTATTTCTTCTTACATTTTCTACCATATCTCCAATAAAAGTTATCAAACTTTTGGACTTTTAACTGATTAAAGAAGTGGAAAATTGTCCTCTCGCTGCAGATTTAATTGGATTTTCTTTTACAAGGGTGAGATTGAACATCCTTTTCATATCACTAAGAATAATTTGTATTGTCTATTCTGTTACATGGATATATTCTTGGTCAAATTATTTGTTGGGTTGTTCTCTTTCTGTAACAATTTCCAGTAGCTATTTTGGAGGTGACTATTCTCTTTCTCCAACAATTTTTGTGTCCCAGAACTTTGCCTAAGGATCTTTTGATATGCAGAATTATTTTGAAGCTGTAGTTTAATTTACAGTCTTTTTTTTTATGGTTTCTGGATTTGTAGGCACAGTTAGGTAGGCAGGCCCAGTTTCATACCAATATAAAAATTTCCCATGTTTTCTTCAAGAATTTTCATTTTTAAAACTTTAAGTCTTGTATTCATTTAAAATTATTTTGGTCTATTTTGTGACAAAGGAATTCATTTTATTTTTTTTAACTAGTGACCAAGTGAATTTACCATCTTTTAACTCCTCTACACATACATACAGAGAACTGAGATAAGAACTGTAGACTAAACCCTTTTTGATCTGGGCCTATTTCTGAACTTTTTCTTCTATTCCATTTTTCTGACTACACCTGTGTTACTAACAGTATTTTAAATATTGAGACTTTATAACAAATTGTGGTATCGTAATCCTACCTTAGTCTCTTTCTTCAATCTGTTTCTGGTTATTCTTGTATGTATATTTTTCCATACGAACTTTATATTCAACTTGTCTCATTAAAAAAAACTATCATAGAATAACTGGAAAAATTAAACAGTAGATTTCTAACCAACTTAGGTAGCCTAAAATCTTTATTACACCAGATCCACCTATACCAGAACAGGAAATATAGTTTCATTTGAAAAGTGTCCATTTGTACTTTCCAGCGGTTTTCTTTAAAGTATTCTTTGTGGAGGTCTTATTTCTTTATTATAAAATTTATTCCCAAATATGTTCTGTGTCATTCTTTTATACAGGGCCTTTATTTTTTGTTTGTGTTTCAATTGGTATTAGTTAAATATATCAAACCTGTTTAACATTCTCAGCACTTTGTTTATAGCACTTTCTCCTGAGTTGATGCTTGAGTTTTCCAAGTATATCATATCTACTAATAACAATAAAGCTATCTTCTCTTTTCCAATCCCCATGCATCTAAATTCTTCTTCTTCTCTAATTGTATCAGTTGGTGCTTACTATACTGGCTGCAGTTTAATCTTGATCCTGACTTTGACGGACTACAGCTGGTGACCTTCCATTAAACATGATGGTGGCACACAATAAACAAAATAAACAGATTTATTTTTATCATATTATTGAAATGCTCAACTATTCTTATTATGTCTTTACTTTTTAAATCAAGAATATGTTCAGTCAATAAAGTCAAAAGATGGTTCCTTAAAAACTGAAAGGCAAGGATAATCAAGAAAAAAAAGACGAGACAAGCAAGTCTGTGTCGCCAGGAGCGGTTTGGCCAGAGACCAGTGGGTCAGCGCGCGAAAGGCGGGCAGGACGGCTGTGGGTACCCAAGACACATCATTGACTGAGGCTGTAAAGCAAGTTGCAAAACAACAACAATCACAAATATCAGAAATAGAAAAAACCAGAAAAGTTCTATTCCATTTGTTCTACTTTATGCGTCCCCTTTGATGAGACAGCTACAGAACAATCTGAGGCACCATCTTAAGGATTGGAGACTGAGGACGGACACCAAAACTTTAAGAACCTGAAACTTCGTTATTCTGCAATTGAACGATGGGAGGGTGTTTTTTTTTAATTTACTTTCTTTATTTCTCTATTTTTCATTTTGTTTTATTTTATTTATATATATATATTTCCTTCATTTACTTATTTTTCATTTTTATTCTTATCTTTATTCTTTTTATTTTTTATTTTCAATCCTGTCTCTCTAATGCCTGTTCAGCTTACTGTCGATTAGTACACTAACACTCCCTGTTTATATCTTTGAAACTTCTTGTTTGATTTTGCTTTTTTTCTCCTACTTTGTTATTTTTTTTTCCCTTTTCTTTAACTTCTTGCTTTCCATCTCCTCTCACCTTCCATTCTAAACTTATTCATTTATTATTACAAGCAGAAAAATACTTAATTGCACACAGTACAGGGACAGTAACAACACCAAGGACAATGATGGGAAGACAGAAGAAAAACAGGGAACCAGTTTCCCACAGCAAAAAATTAGTACAGGAACAGAGGGAAATGAAGAAAACAGATACTCAGATCCAGACTCCAACAAAATGAAGATAAACTATGCCAAAGAACCCAATGAAGCCCACAAGAGAAATTTAAAAGAAGACATACTACAGGTACTCAATGAGAATTTTATAGAGATGATACTGGATATGGTCAACCAAAATGTACAGGAGACACTCAAGAAATTCCAAGAACAAAAAAATAGAGAATTTTGAAAAAGCAAAGAAGAAATAAAGGAAACCATAGAAGCACTGTATAACACCAAAGTGAAACAGAGAACACGATTAATAAACGAGATAAATGAACTCAGGACAAAAATAGACAACATTAAAGAGGAAACCACCCAGGATATGGAAACCTCAGAAAAAAGAATGAAACAAACTGCAAAACAAAACGGGAAGGCCAATCCAGCAGAATAGAACAAACAGAAGACAGAATCTCAGAACTGAAGATGAAATGGTAATTAAAGGAAAAACCAAGAACTATTAATTAAACAACTCAAGACCTGTGAAAAGAAAATGCAAGAACTCACCGACTCCATCAAAAGACCAAACTTGAGAATCCATCGGGCATCGAAGAAGAAGGAGAAGAGGTGCAAGCAAAGGGAATGCAATATATTCAACAAAATAATAACAAAAATTTCCCAAATCTAGAGAAAGATATTCCATACAGATGCAAGAGGCCTCCAGGACACCAAACAGACCAGATCAAATAGAACTACCCCACAACATATCATTAACAACACAGTTCAGAAACTAGGGAAAGAATATTGAAGGCTGTAGAGAGAAAACAATAACATACAAAAGGTAACCCATCAAAATCACAGCAGACTTCTCAACAGAAACATTAAAAGCAAGAAGAGCTGATGTGAGATCTTCCGGGCACTGAATGAAAATAACTTCAACCCAGGATACTCTCCAGCAAAACTATCATTCAAAATAGATGGAAGCAATAAAGTCTTCCATGATAAGCAGAAACTAAAACAATATGTGACCACAAAGCCACCACACAAAAGATTCTTCAAGGGATTCTGCACACAGAAAGTGAAACCCAACTTAACCCAAAAGGACAGGCAGCACCAAACACAGGAAAAGAAAAAGCAAGAAAGTAGAGAGTAAACCTCAACTTAGGTACACACAATCAAACTTCAAACAACTAAGACAACTAAATGACAGGAATCACCACGTACCAATCAGTACTAACACTTAATGTTAACGGACTTAATTCACCCATCAAAAGGCACCGCTTTGACAAAATGGATTAAAAAGGAAGAATCCACAATTTGTTGCTTTACAGGAGACCCATTCACTCAACAGAAATAAGCATAGGCTTAGGATGAAAGGCTGAAGAAGATTTACAAAGCCAATGGCCCCCGAAAACAGGCGAGTAGCAATACTTATTCTGACAAAGTAGACTTCAAACCTACATTGATCAAAAAAAGACATAAGAGGACATTCCATACTAATAAAGGGGAAATAGACCAAAAGGAAATAATAAATTCATCAACCTTGTATGCAACCCAATTTCATCAAACATACCCGAAAGACCTAAAAGCATAATATTAACGCCAACACAGTGGTTTGTGGGAGACTTTAACACCCATTATCACTCAATAGGTAGGTCATCAAACAAAAAATCAATAAAGAATCCAACGATCTAAAATATACAATAGATCAAATGGACCTACTTGATGTCTACAGAAATTTCATCCAACTTCTAACAATATACATTCTTCTCAGCAGCCCATGGAACCTTCTCCAAAATAGATCATATCCTAGGGCACAAAGCAAGCCTCAGCAAATATAAGAAAAATAGAAATTATACCGTGCATACTATCTGATCACAATGCATAAAACTAGAACTCAACAACAAAAGTAAAGACAAAAAACATGCAAACAGCTGGAAACTAAAAACTCATTACTTAATGAACAATGGGTCATGATGAAATAAAGAGGAAATTAAAAATTCTGGAAGTCAATGAAAATGAAAACACAACCTACCACTGGAACCTATGGGACACAGCAAAGGCAGTCCTGAGAGGAAAGTTATAGCCATGAGTGCATATATTAAAAACACTGAAAGATCCAAATCAATGACCTAATGATACATCTCAAATCCTAGAAAACGAACAAGCAAATCCCAAAACAAATAGAAGGAGAGAATAATAAAAATAAGAGCTGAAATCAATGAAATAGACAAAAAAAACCATACAAAATTAATGAAACAAAAAGTTGGTTCTTTGAAAAAATAAACAGAGATTACAGACCCTGGCAAACCTGACTAAAATGAGGAGAGAAAAAACCCAAATTAGTAGAATCAGGAATGCAAAAGGGGAGAATAACAAACACCATGGAAGTCAGGAAATCATCAGAGACTACTTTGAGAACCTATATTAAATAATTTGAAAATCTTAAAGAAATGGACAGATTTCTAGATCATATGATCATCAAACTGAACCAAGA